CCTTGTCCGCACCAGTTCTGAGTCGGCAGTTTGATGCTTAGGGAGAGTCCCACGGCCCCACCCGAAAGGTGGGGACATAAGACATTCTACGCCCGTCGGCACACTGGCACGCGGGCTCCGCCCTCGCCGCGAGAGCAGCTCGGGCAGACCACCGACAGCCACCGAAAGGATGCATTTATCACATGTCCGAAGAGGAGCTCACGGTTCTTCGTGCGCAACTCGACGATCTACTCGACAAGGGTTGGATCTGCCCTAGCAGCTCACCTTACGGTGCGCCCGTTCTCTTCGTTCGGAAGAAGAACAAGGACCTTCGACTTTGCATTGACTACCGACGSCTCAACGCGCAAACCATCAAGAACGCGGGGCCTCTACCTCGCATTGACGATTTGCTTGAGCGGTTGGGCGGCGCTAAGTACTTTTCGAAGTTGGACCTCAAGTCGGGCTACCATCAGATTTCCATCCGCCCGCAAGATCGGTACAAAACCGCGTTTAAGACGCGATAYGGGCATTTTGAGTGGGTAGTTATGCCTTTTGGCCTCACCAATGCCCCGGCCACCTTTCAGGCGGCCATGACCACCGAGTTTCGCGCTATGTTGGACCGCTTCGTCTTGGTCTACTTAGACGACATCCTCGTCTATAGCCGAACTCTAGAGGAGCATCTCGAGCACCTTCGCCGTGTCCTAGAGACTCTTCGGTCAGCCCGGTACAAAGCTAACCGCGACAAATGCGAGTTTGTCCGGCAAGAGCTTGAATACTTAGGTCATTTTGTCTCTCCGGAAGGYATYCGTCCGTTGGCGGACAAGATTCAAGCCATCCAGGAGTGGCCCGAGCCGAAGAATGTGACGGACGTCCGATCCTTCCTCGGCTTGGCCGGTTATTATCAGCGCTTCATCAAGGGTTACTCGAAGATCGCGGCCAACCTAAGCAAGTTACAAAGCGAGGAGCGGCCTTTTGACTTCGACGACAACGCGCACCATTCTTTTGAGACACTCAAAGCGGCACTCTTGTCCGCCGAGGTGTTACATATTTACGACCCGCTTCTAGCTACGCGCGTCACTACCGATGCGTCGGGCTATGGCATTGGGGCCGTCCTTGAGCAGCACGATGGCACGGACTGGCACCCGGTCGAGTACTTTAGCAAGAAAGTACCTCCCGTGCATTCGATCGATGACGCTCCGAAGAAGGAGCTTCTTGCCTTCGTCCACGCCCTCAAGCGTTGGCGACATTTCCTCCTTGGTCGGAAAGCATTCCGATGGGTAACGGATAACAATCCGTTGGTATTCTACAAGTCGCAAGACACGATTAACAGTACTACTGCCCGTTGGATGACTTTCATCGACCAGTTTGACTTTTTCCCCGATCACATTCCCGGGAAGTCAAACCATTTTGCGGACGACCTCTCACAGCGACCGGATCTTTGCACCGCAGTCTACTCTACCTTCGAGATCGACGACGACTTGCGAGAGAGCTTCATCCGCGGCTATCAAGCCGACCCCCACTTTCGCGACAAGTACGCGAATTGCTCCTCTCCAAATCCAGTGCCTTCGCATTATCGGATCCAAGAGGGCTACTTACTTGTGCATTCACGGGGTAAGGATCTTCTTTGTGTGCCGAATGATTCACACTTGCGCACACGGCTTCTTGGCGAGTTTCACGATGCGCCCGNTGAACTTGACAAAGTGAGGGTGAAACTAGTGAGAACATATGCACATAAGTAGTAGAACAGCCAAGTGAGAATCGAAACATTACCAAATGCATGAGCTTGACGAAGTGAGGGTGAAACTAGTGAGAACACATGCACATAAGTAGTAGAATAGCTAAGCGAGATTCGAAACATTACCAAAGGCATGAACTTGACAAAGTGAGGGCGGAACTAGCGAGAACATATGCACATAAGTAGTAGAACAGCCAAGTGAAAATCGAAACATTACCAAATGCATGAACTTGACGAAGTGAGGGTGGAACTAGTGAGAACACATGCACATAAGTAATGAGACAACTAAGTGAGAATCGGAACATTACCAAATGCATGAACTTGACGAAGTGAGGGTGAAACTAGTGAGAACACATGCACATTAATAGAACAGCTAACTGAGAATCAAAACATTACCAAATGCATGAACTTGACGAAGTGAGGGTGGAGCTAGTGAGAACACATGCACATAATATAACAACTAACTGAGAATCGAAATATTACCATACGCATGAACTTGACAAGGTGAGGGTGGAACTAGATAGAACACCTGCACATGAGTAGTAAAACAGCTAACTGAGAATCGAAACATTACCATGTGAGAGATGAGCCATGCATGTGAGTGAGACTTGCTCAAACCCATTCTCGAAGCTCATGAAAACAATCAAGAATGCAATGGAACATTATGATGTGAGAGTTGAGTCATGCATGTGAGACTTGCTCAAACACATGCTTGAAGCTCATGAATGTAACCAAGAATGCAACGGAACATCATCATGTGAGAGTTGAGCCATGCATGTGAGTGAGACTTGCTCAAACACATTCTTGAAGCTCATGAATGCAACCAAGAATGCAACGGAACATTACTATGTGAGAGGCGAGCCATGCATGTGAGTGAGACTTGCTCAAACACATGCTTGAAGCTCATGAATGCAACCAAGAATGAAACGAAATGTCATTATGTAGGAAATTGAGCAAAGTAGGCGAAGGGAACCATCAAAACACTAGAACAATCATGGTCAAGAGTTGCGATTTGCTCCTAAGTGAAAAAAGGAGAGAAAGTGAGAAGAGAGTGAGTGAGACTCACTCAAATGCATGAAACCACAAGAGGGGGAGTGACGCTTCACATCGGAGTGGAGAAAAGGACAAAACAAAAGAGAAACATCATCCAAACACTAGAGAAAACACAAACAAGAGTGGCGATTTGCTCCCAAGTGAAGAAGTGGAGAGAAAGGGAGAGAAGAGTGAAACTCACTCAAATGCATGAATTCACAAGGGGGGAAGTGGCGCTTCACATGGGAGTGGAGAAAAGGACAAAACAAGAGAGAAACATCATCCAAACACTAGAGAAAACACACAAGAGTTGTGATTTGCTCCCAAATGAAGAAGTGGAGAGAAAGGGAGAGAAGAGTGAGTGAAACTCACTCAAATGCATGAGATCACAAGGGGGGAAGTGGCGCTTCACATGGGAGTGAA